TCACAAATATATAAATTAATCACTAATATTTAAGCCAAATAGTCTTTTATATCATAACATTGCATGACCAATCAGAAATAGCGTACTTGATTCGCATAAACCGATTTAACGAATATTTTCAATGTTGATGGAAGTGTTCTCTCAAATTACACTATACAATGAAACAGAAAATGTCACGCCCAAAAGCAAAACTGTGCAGCGTCATCTATTGGCTTGTCTTAAACTGCAAAAAAATGCGTGGTGGAGTATCTGCCGAAGTCTTTATTGGAAGAGGTGTACTCGATTTAACAATGTGCCACCCTTCTGAACACCCAGTATTTTATAGTTTTTCCAGTCACTGGGATAATCTGTTAATGATACATGTTCCGCTGCATCTGATACCCCCCCCTTTTTTTTTGCTACACGTCTGGCGTATTGCAATATCGATTTCACCTTTTGCTAATAGAGACGTAGGGTAACATCCTCTCGCAACGGTATATAGGCCTTTACCTTATATCAAAAAGGTACCACTAGATGGCACTATACAGGTATTTAATACTGCTGTTAATTTTGAGAAGAACCTTTGAAACGTTTACCGTAAGCACTTGAAACTTCGAGCAGTCACGTTTTAATATATGAGCTGTTTTTCTTTTATTAATAACTTCATTTTATTAAAAGACTTTCTCTCAGTTGCGTCATGACTGCGCAAGAATCATTAAAATCCCGTGAGAGATGATGAGACCCGAAGTGTATCGAAATTGGTCTGTCTTGGGTAATTAATTCCAAGTAGTAGGTAAATAAACACGTAGGAACAATCAACATAGTCATACGCCCTGGTGAAATATTTTTTAAAATAGTGTAACTTTTCAGATTCTTCTACATTGTGCTGTGTCCCAGACTGTTGCACTTAAATATTAACCTATTGACTTAGACTGAGGTCACTTTTAAACGGTTATAGTTAATCCACGTGACACAGATCTTGTACTTTACACCTTTTTTTTATTTTTCTATTTTTCATTATTTCTTTTGTCGTTCAAAGCTGCCCCCCAGCGGTATGTAGGCGGACTTACAACGCCAGAAATCGGATTTCGATACCCGTGGTGGGCAGAGCACAGATAGTCCATTGTGTAGCTTTGTGTTTAACTTCAAAACAGTCGTTCAAAGCTACACAATAAGCTAGCTGTTCTCTGGCCATCGTGGGTATCGAACCCAAGATTTTAACGTTGTAAGACCGTAACTTATCGCTGACCCACCAGTGGACTGTATCTCAGATTGTTGTTTTTTGTGTGTTTTTTAAAAAAATTTCCGTTACCAATTTGAAAGTCGATCTATAACTTTGTTCTTTTGTCCCACCCATAACTTTCTTCTGGATTTTTCATATTAGGGTTGTTTTACACAGAAATCCATGTGACAGGGATTTTAGTTTTAAGTGAATTGTCGTTTTTAAATTAGATTTATAGAGCAGCCGACATGACGTAAACTTTTGTCTAGTTCGAAGAGATGCAGTTTTCCATATTGTTGTCTTAAAGTAGGTTAATACACCTGTGTTTATTACTTAATGTTTTATTTCAATAATATAGTCGGTGTATTAGAAGGAATTGTAGCAGTGGTAGTTTAAATATTTACAGAATTGTTTAATTAAAAAATGTGGTTTGAAAGATTATACGCACAATGATTTGGATTTAAGCACAATGCTGCACAATGGACTATCTGTGCTCTGCCCACCACGGGTATCGAAACCCGGCTTCTAGCGTTGTTTTAAGTCCGCAGATACCGACCACACTACTTATGTTAAAAGTTCGAAACGGGTAAAATTTAAAAATGTATGGAATAATTTGATCACTTTTACACTCTTTAACGAAAACAACTATAAGTAATTCTTCCGAACTTAGTTAGAGAATTATGTTGTTCTAATCACTTGGAAAATATTAAGTATTAACTTCAATATCGTTTTTTTCGGTATCGCTCATCCATCATATAGTTACTAACTGTTTGAATAAACCTTACACCCCTCCAATTCCAAATTTTGACGTTTTTAAACTGTTCTTTATATTCCTTCCGTGGTGAGTAGTCTACAGTTCAAAATGAAACTGAAGCAATATTACAGTCAGTCTTTCTACGAGTTGCTTTTTGTTAGTTCTTCTGTGGGACAGCGGTAAATTTACGGACTTACAATGCTAAAATCTGGGGTTCGATTCTCCGGTGGTCACAGTAGATAGCTCAATGTGGCTTTGCTCTAAAAGAAACATTGTGTTATCTTCCTCCTAATATTTTCGGTTTAAAGACAGAATTATTGTACTTCAGTGTTCGAGTAGGTTACAATTTAGTGAGTTTGATTCGTGGGATCAGCGATCCACTGTCTTTTGAATCGTTTCAGAATTTACATTATTATCTACAACATCCATGCAATACTGACTTTAAAATTCTGTGAAGAGTCTCGAATAACAGCGTTGCGTTAAATAGACCTGAATTTAACATAAACCAGTGATCTGTGTCGTGATTGAAGAAACTTGTGTTATCTTTCTTCACCTACTTGTTTAAATCCGCTCAGAAATATGTTGGACATTGTTGACTGTTGAATTTATATTATTGACTGCCCTCGTTTTATGTGTCTAAAATATTTATTGAAGTATTATATTATTGTGTCATATGTATATGGTTGTGTGACTTATGTTGTTCGATATGTAAATTAACCATAACGTCCTTAACACGACAATACAGTTCAGAATTAGAATAGTTTATACAGCCTAGCGTGAAATGGACCAATCTGATACACACGGAGATTGTGACGTATGTTGTTCGAACTCATCACAGAACAGAGGCCATTTTTAAATATACTACATTAGAAATGATTGATTATCAAATAATACCATGTACAGGTTTTAAAAACGAAACTTATATTTGTTTTAGGAAAGAGAAAACTGGCATACGAAATCTTCGTAGCCGTTTAAAAGAAGTTAAAGTAATTTTATATTCTTCATTTTTTGTGTAGTATACAATTTATGTACTGTGTTTAATAAATATGGATAACCCGAGAAAGATTCCTTTAATTTCTTAAAGTAGATTTATTTTTTTTCTTGAGTTTCCAAATACTTTTATATTGGAATATAGAAACATATACGTTCGTTGGCTTTATTATAAAACAGTAATATATGTATGGTTGTAAACATGATAGATTTAACCCGTTTGTTTGTTATGAATTTCGCGCAAAGCTACACGAGGGCTATCTGCGCTAGCCGTCCCTAATTTAGCAGTATAAGACTAGAGGGAAGATAGCTAGTCATCACCACCCACCGCCAACTCCTGGGCTACTCTTTTACCAACGAATAGTGGAATTGATCGTCACAATATAACGCTCCCACGGCTGAAAAGGCGAACATGTTTAGTGGGACGTCGATTCGGACCCTCGACCCTCAGATTGCGAGTCGAGCGCCCTAACCATCTGGCCATGCCGGGCCGATTCTGATTGAATTGGAATAATTTTCATGGTTAAGGTAGAATATCGCCAAAACATACCATTAAATTACTATACCACCAAAGAAGTATTTGAACAGCATATTTTGATAATGACCAGAGCTCGTGATTTATTGATAAGTCTCATTTTAATAAGCTAAAACTTGCCCTACATTTGTTCCACGCATTAGGTTTAAGTGACAAGTTAGTCCTAAGAGTTGTGAAATCTCAGACTATGCCTTTTCTGTCGCTTAGACGGCATTTTAGGACTTAATTTGGATTCATCTCGGGAGCTTTGGGATATCTGAAACAATTTTTAAACGTTACTTGCTTTAAATCACTACTCGAAATTGTCTGCATATGGCATTGATGTGTTGAAAGAGTAACACCCCTTCTTCTTAGTATTTGACCAGTATAAGTCACTATCTTATGAGCTAAGATGTTTCCGTAAATAGCATATTAGTTTATCTTGAAGCTTTGTTAATAAATGTTTCAGTAAGCTTGTTAAATATATTAATGATATTACATCGGGTTATGATGAAACATGAGTTTTCTATATCAAATATAAAATGGAGATTTGTATTAGTTGTTAGAAACTAATATTCATGTTGTGTAATTTACCATAAAAGACTAAGCTAGACATGTATAAGTCAGTATTTCATAAACTAAGAAGTTTTCATGAATAGTATATTTGTGTATCTTGAAGTTTTGTTAACAAATGTTTCAATAGATGTAATACTTAAGTCTGAGATTTTTGTTACATATACTAAAGATGGTACATTTTAAAGCGAACTTTCATTCTAACCATACATATTTCTATTCTGTGGTGTGCTTTCGTATTACTTCTGGTAATGTATGATAAAATTTATATACTAATAACTTGCCTTAATAATTTTTTAATGGGACAAAGTTTCGATTAACGGCCAACGTACAGGTTAACACATCTGGCCGTGTCTGGTATTTATATGGGCCCTCTTGTATGTGATTTCTAATTTTTTAATGGGACAAAGTTTCGATTAACGGCCAACGTACAGATTAACACATCTGGCCGTGTCTGGTATTTATATGTGGCCCTCTCGTATGTGATTTCTAATTTTTTAATGGGACAAAGTTTCGATTAACGGCCAACGTACAGGTCAACACATCTGGCCGTGTCTGGTATTTATATGTGGCCCTCTTGTATGCGATTTCTAATTTTTTAATGAGACAAAGTTTCGATTAACGGCCAACGTACAGGTTAACACATCTGGCCGTGTCTGGTATTTATATGTGGTCCTCTTGTATGTGATTTCTAATTTTTTAATGGCACAAAGTTTCGATTAACGGCCAACGTACAGGTTAACACATCTGGCCGTGTCTGGTATTTATATGTGGTCCTCTTGTATGTGATTTCTAATTTTTTAATGGCACAAAGTTTCGATTAACGGCCAACGTACAGGTTAACACATCTGGCCGTGTCTGGTATTTATATGTGGTCCTCTTGTATGTGATTTCTAATTTTTTAATG